GTTTTTAACTAAAATTCTTCTATAAATCCATTATTTTTAATAATTTTTGAAAAATATTTGGGAATTTTCCAATTCATTTGTTTACAATTCAATTTTACAAAATTTCAATTATTCGTAAATTCTTTAATTAAATATATATATAATAGAAAATAAAAACTTGAAATAATTTCAAAAAAATTCAATTAAACTTTTTCAGAAGAATTAATTCAAAAGAACTGTTTGTTAAAAATATGAAAAATTCGGAATTTCAATAATTTTAATTTGAAACCTTCTCAAAACTCAATTATTTTTAAAAATCCACGTTATAATACTTTTAATATTTACTTATATAATTTAGAATTTTAACTAAAATTTATTTTTAAATCAATTTTTATTAGAAAATTGTACTAGAATTTAATTATTTAAATACAAAAATAAATAATTTATTAAATAATTGAATGTTTCTTAAAATTCAATTCTCATAAAGAATTTTATTAACAATGCTTTAAATAATTTAATTCTTTTGTCGAATTTTATTCAAACTTGCATGAAAATAATTACTTTTTTCGAGGAATTTAATTTAAATTTTATGAAAAATATTTTGATATTCTGCGATGAGTTTTATTATTAGTAAAAATAATTGAATCCTTAAGAATAATTTCAGTACTCTTCAAAATAATTGAATTTCTGCAATAATTTGTAATTTCTTCAAAATTAAATTTTTTTCTAGTATTTTTAAATGAAATTCTTCTATAAATCCATTATTTTTAATAATTTTTGAAAAATATTTCGGAATTTTCAAATTTATTTCTTTACAATTCAATTTAAAAAATTTCAATTATTCGGAAATTCTTCAATTAAATATATAAGTAATAGAAAATAAAAACTTGAAATAATTTTTAAAAACATTCATTAAACTTTTTTAAAAGAATTAATTCTGCAGAATTGTTTGTTTAAAATATGAAAAATTCAAAATTTCAATGATTTTAATTTCAAACCGTTTCAAAATACAATTGTTTCTAAAAATCCACGTTATAACGCTTTTAGTATTTAATTATAATCTAAAATTTTAACTGAAATTCATTTTTAAAACAATTTTTATTAGTAAATTCAACGAGAATCCAATTATTTAAATGCAAAAATAAATAATTTATTTAGTAATGAAATGTTTCTTAAAATTCAATTCTATTAAAGAATTTTATCAATAAATTTTTAAAGAATTGAATTCTGTTGACCAATTTTAATAACATTTTTAAGAATAATTACATTTTTCGAGGATTCCGATTCAAATTGTATTAAAAATAATTGAAATTCTGCAATGAGTTTTATTATTTATGAAAATAATTGAATTCCTAAAAGAATTTTATTATTTACTTAAATAATTGAATCCCTGTCAAAATTTTATTATTTATGAAAATAATTGTTAATTGAATTATTGCGAAGAAATTTATAAAAAATTTGTAAATAATTGAATTCCTGTAAAAATTTTTATTATTTATGAAAATAATTGAATGTTTCCGTGGAATTTTATTCAAATTTTTTTTAATAATGGAATTCTTTTGGAAAATTTTATTAAAATAGTCGATATTAAAAATCATTGAATTTGAGAAAATTTTGGAGAATAATTGAAACTTCGATAAGAATTTGAATAAAATTTTGGAAAATAATTGAATATCAGAGAAGAATTTTATTATTTATAAAGATAATTTAAATTTTGAAGAGAATTTTTTTTAATTTTTGAACACAATTACAAATGAATTTAGTATGTTACTAAGTCACTTAGTAAGTTAGTAACTAAGTTAGTTAGTTAGTAAGTTAGTTAGTTAGTTAATAAATTAATTAGTAACTAATTAAAATAAGTAGTAACTAAGTTAGTTAATTAGTAACTATTTTACTATGTTAGTTAGTAAGCTAGTAACTAACTTACTATTGTCCTTGGTGAAGCTAAATTCGTTGTATTTTTACAAATCGTTGACTTTGTTGTTTGATTTGAAGTAAAATTTTATTCATAGTCAAAATCAACACCAAAATGGATTATTTTAATCCTTTCTGGTGTTAATTTAATTTAATTTGATAATCCATTTAATAATCAATTATTTGAATCCATTCTGGTGTTATTTTAACACCTTACGTTTTACTGTGTTTGAAATATGCTCTAAAAAAAGTGACTGTATATTAAGGATAAGATGAAGGATGAAGCTAATTCTTTTCTGATTTGCAAAATGTTCTGATGGTATAGTTACTCGAGTGCAATTTTCTTTCGTCAACGACTTAAAAAATTACTAAAGACACTTCTTCCACTGCACCATCCAGGGCTGGAAAAAAATTTCACAGTAAAGAAGGAATTATCCTCACTTCTTATAGTAGTCCTTGGGATATAGAGCGTTATTGGCGTTACACTAGGATGAAGATTATAATGCCGCAGTGAAATCACCTTGGATATTTAACACAGCCAAAGTCTGGTAAACGAGGTGTAAGAGGACTTTTTTACGATAATGTTGTTCGCCAGCAACTGAAATTTCCAAGAGTTCTGAACCATCAGCAGCCGGGCTCTGAGATTGAAGCGAGCTGCAGATAAAGGCGCTTTCAAATGACCAATAATAATCGACGCAGTACTCGTTTCAACGCAAGTCAGTTTTAAAGTTCGAATTCTCCGCACTATCTTACATTTATTGTAAGGAGAAGTCGAAAAATATGTTTAATCCTTGTCTACGCAATTAGAATTTCAATTTTAATTTATTTATTGAAACCAATTTAAAATTATTTATATTAGTATTAAAATTAATCAATGAAGTTGACCGTATAACGAATGATGAATAATAAAATAATAATAAAGCTTAAGAGTTATGTTATTCAGGGATTTTTGGGATCGCTGATTACGAATCTAACGTCTGATTTCAAAAATACAAAATGGACAATACAATATGGTGGACGATTTCTTAAAAAAATGATGAAATTATTCATCCCAAGAAAGTCTTCAGAAAAATTATTTTCTGATTGTATTTCTTTCTTCAAAATTATTTTCATCATTTCAATTCAATTATTATTTTCCACAATTTTCAAAAAAATTCTTCTTTAAATGAATTATTTTTCATAATTTTTAAAAAAAGTTCTTTGAGAATTTTTAAATCCATTTGCTTATAATTTAATTTTATGTGAAATGTCGATTAGTCGGAAATTCTTCAATTAAATATACATTAGAAAATAAAAATTTGAACTAATTTAAAAATATTTCGATTAAGCTTTTTGAAAAAAATTAGTTCCATAGAATTTTTAATTAAATGTATGAAAAATTAAGATTTTCAAAGATTTTAATTTAAAACCTTTACATAATTCAATTATTTCTAAAAATTGCAATTATTAGAAACTTTGCCTAAATTCAATAATAATCTGAAACTTTAACTGAAATTAATTTTTAAATGAATTTTTATTAGAAAATTCTACAAGAATTCAATTATTTAAATATAAACATATAGATAATTTATTGAATAATTGAATCTTTCTTAAAACTGAATTCTTATACATAATTTTATTAACAAATTTTCAAATAATTGAATATTCTATCGACGAATTTTAATAACATTTTTAAGAATAATTACATTTTTCAAGGAATTTGATTAAAATTGTATGAAAAATAATTGAAATTCTGCAATGAGTTTTATTATTTATGAAAATAATTAAATTAGTAAAAGAATTGAATGTAAAAGATCCAAAAGTCAAGTGTATTGCAAAGAATTTTATAAAAAGTTTCAAACAATTGATTTTTTTTCGAAAAAATTTATTTTTTTCGAAAAAATTTATTCAAATTCTATTTTCAATAATTGAATTCTTGTGAAATTTTCATTATTATAGAAAATAATTGAATATTCGTGTATTATTTTTATTTATTTACTTGGAAATTTTATTACTTTTGAAAATAATTGAATTACTACAAAGAATTTAATGCAAAATTTTAAAACAATTTTTTTTTTTTTAAGAAAATAATTGAATGTTTATGCAGTATTTTATCAAAATTTTTGTTTAAAATATGAATTCTTTTAGGAAATTTTATTAAATTAGTAGAATAATAAAAACCATTTAATTAAGACAAATATTTTTGAAAATATTTGAATTTTGCAATGAATTTTATTAAAATTCCTCAAAATAATTGAATTTTTTCGAAGAATTTTCCTATTTATTTATATAAAGAATTGAAATGTTGACCACAATTTTTATTAGTTTTTTTTTAAATAATTGAATTTTTGCAAAGAATTTTATTAATTTTGAAAATAATTAAATTCGCTTGTGATGAATATTGTTATTTATGAAAATAGTTTAATTTTTGCAATGAATTTAATTAAAATTCCTGAATAAAATTGAATTTCAGCGAAGAATATTAATATAATTATAAAGATAATGAAAATATTAACGAAAATTTTTTTTTCAATTTTTTAAAAATAATTGAATTTCTGGAAAGAATTTTATCGTTTTATCAAAAATTTCAGGCAAAATCTTGGAAAATTTTTTTTCACTTGATTTCTGAGCAAAAATAGTGTTAGAAAAAAAATATGAAAAATTTTTTGAATAATTTTCTTATATAGTTGGAAATTCAGGTGCGAATTCCCTTAAATTTAATTTGAATTTGTACTTTTTTTGATTTTTTCAAGTTGTGAGTGTTAATTTTTTTCTAGGAAATTGATAATTAATATTTTTGTTATTCTAGAAAATACTATTAATAATATTTTAATTATTACTGTGTTAATTAATGATTTTTCTAGAGGTCTGCATTTTGTTGGATAAAGCACCTTAAAGTTAGTTAACAATTGCAATTTTATAAACAATAGTTTGCAATATTTTCATGAAGATTCAAAATTTAAAGCTCGAGAAATTGACAAAGTAATTATTTAACAAGTTTTATATGAAATGAGATTTTTGTCGCAAATGAATTTTATAGCTAATTAAAATTCAAAACAAGGATTTGGGAATTATTTATTAAATTCTGAGTTGATAACGTTGAATTAAATAATTTTTTAAAAAGTATATATTGTCTAGAAATTTAATATTATAATAATCAGGTTTATGTCAATAACATTAATTGGATATCACAAAGATAATTTTATAACTATTGATGTTATGATAATCTATTAAAATTATTTCTAAATGAGAAAAATATCCCAGAAATATTTGAGTATATAATTACTATACTGTAACGAGTACTACAAAAAAGCAATAAAATGACTGCATTAAGCTTGTAAAGTTAAAAATCTAAATAATTGGAAACAAGTTTTGATTTTAATCTACAATTAAAAGAAAAAAAAATGAATAACATAAAATGACGTTTGTAGAACATATTAACTTGAGAAGCTGGAAAAATAATTATTATCAAATGAAATACACAATTTACGTTCCGCGACGTAAATTATAATTAACAAATATAGTAACTTACATTGTATTATGATCGTTACTCTAAAAAATCACCTCACACGTAATATACAAAAAGTAATTTATCGTGTCAGTAATTTTTGAAAAGCTTTCTGACATTTTTCTTTTTTTTTAAACTCATAACTGATCTTGCCTAAAAAGTCTTTTTATAATTTAATATCATTCAGTGGTTGATGTTTCCATTTTAGATTCTTGATGATCAAGTTGATCAAGTTCTTCACTGTCGTTGACAATTTTTGAAGGACTAACTTTTTTTTCGTTAATATCTAGATTTGTTTCTTCACTTTTCCGAGTGTCTTTCTCTTCGTTTGATTCATCCAAGATCATTATACAATCATCTTCTGATTCTGCTTCTGTGTTTTTTCTTTTCTCGTTACTTTCCTCCTTTTCTGAATTCTCCACCTTTGTTTCTTTCTTTTCTGAACTCTCCACCTTTGTTTCTTTCTTTTCTGAACTCTCCACCTTTGTTTCTTCCTTGTTTTGTAATTTTTCATCCTGTTCGGTAGTGTTTTCCTCCTTTTTCTCATCATCATCTAATATTATAATGTCATCGTCCATTTTCTTTGTGGTGGTTGCATTATTTGCATTATCGCCGACCATAAACTTGTTGAGTAAACTCATTCGTGGAGATTTGGGAAACTTTTCACCTCTGCCAACGGAAATCAATGCGACTCGTTTTTTATTTACGTTCGGTGTTGATTTTGTTGCTGGTACCTCCGACAGTTGTTTCTTCATTTCTTCCTGAGTGAACTTCTTGGTAAACTGAGTAATTAGTGGAACGCTCTTTTTCTCTTTCTCCCTTTCCTTGTCGTCTTTTTCAATTTTTTCCTGGAGATCAGCAGCCACTTCGATTCGTTTCTTAGGCGTTAAAATATAATTCCATCGATTCGGCAAACTACAATCTTCGGAGTTTAAATATTTTTTACGTACATCCTCGTTGACGAACCAACAATTCTTCTGATGCATTGGACCCTCCTCGGGACACGCTGTCCATCTCGCAATTTCGCGAATTTTTTTTGAGAGACTTACTTTAGAGACGCGAAGATCATTCTTCTTTGTCCAGAAGCACATGAATTCTTTAATGAGAAATCCTCGACCATTGACGTTTCCATGCACTAGACGAATTAAATCGGGTACTGCTTCCTCGGGAACGCGGGTCTTTTTAGCACCAGGACCTGAATTCATTCTTCCAGACGGTGTTCCGCATTCACTTCCATTTAGACTCTCATTATCGGGTGACGATTGCAAATTTATTGGTATTTCATTGGTCCAAATTTCACGATCTTTCAGCAATTGTAGAACTTGAGAGTGAACTGGAAAATTAATAAAATATTTTGCATTAATAAATATGATTCGTTAGCCAAAACAAAAGTTAATTTAAAAATTTGAAGTTGACTTCAAACTTTTATATTTTTTTAATTATAAGAAATCTATATGGGTGATTCTCCTGAAAGGGACCCTTTTTTGGTTGAATTTCCAAAAAATCAAATTATTCTTTTTTTGTTACTTTTCTTTCATAAATAAGTTTAGAAAATGTTTAAAGATAAAAATATAAGTTGCGCAAAATTAATTTTCAGAAATAAGACCTCCAGGAACATTTTACTATCATGTGTTCTAGAGGTTAAGTATAATTAATTATAACTTTTAAATTAATTATTTTGTAAAAAAAACTCGGTAGGAATATTTTTTTTAAATAATAAATTGTTATGTTTTAATTTATTGCACTTTTTGATTGTATATTTTATTTTTATTAAATTAATAATTTAATTTGAGGGTTAAATATTTCAAAACAATGATTAAAAAATTAAAAACAAAAGAAAACGGCTATCAAATATAAAAAAGGCTTCGGAGATGAATTGATAATTTAATGAAAAAATTCTCATTTTTTCTAATTTTAAAAATATTACAATTTTTTAAACAATATTTTTAGTTTTAATCATCAAATATTTTCACATCGATTACATATTATGTTTAAAACGTTAAAAAATATGATGTTATTATATAGAAAATGAGGCTTCGGAGATGAATTTAATTTTTACTCTCATTGATAATACTATTTTAATTAATAATTTAAATAACTTTTTTTACCTTATTTTAAACAAATGTAAGTAAAAAATAATCCTTATATTCTGAACTTTAATTTGATATATATCATAAATATGTTGAAATTGTTTAAATACGTTAAAATATAATTATAAAATATACATTCTGTTTAACCAAAATTCGATGAGAAAATTAAATATGTTTTTTAAATAGGAAGAAATTTAAATATAAGCAATAGAAGATTATATAAAGATAGATAAATCTTCGTAGATTATAAATAAATTTTTCAAAAAATTTAAACTTGATAAAATATTAATGAAAAATTAATTTAAATAATGAACCTCATGTTGGAGACACGTGAAGTGGTCCCTTTCAGGAGAATCACCCATATAAGTTTCAAATTCACAAACAGTTAATATGTACTTTATAATAATCGTATGTTTCCTTTTTCATTAGCAAAAATTCAAATTTTCGAAGATTTTAATTTGAAACCTTTTCAAAATTCAATTATAATCAAAAATTTTAAGAGAAATTCATTTTTTACTTAATTTTTGTTAAAAAATTCTTTGAGAATTCAATTATTTAAATACAAAAATACATAATTTATTAAATAATTTAATACTTCTTAGAATTGAATTTTTATGAAGTATTTTATAAATTTTTTTTAAATAATTGAATTCTTTCAGTGAATTTAAAAAAAAATTTAATAATAAGTGCAATTTTCTATCATTTTATTTAAAATTGTATAAAAAATAATTAAAATTTTGCGATAAGTTTTGTTATTTATGAAAATAATTGAATTCTTGCAACAAACTTTTTTAAAGAATTTAATTCCTGTGAAGAATTTTATTTATGAAAATAATTGAATTCCGGAGAAAAATATTATTATTTATGAAAATAATAAAATTCTTATGAAGAATTTTATTCTTTTTTTAAATAATTGAATTTCTCAGAATTTTTTTAAACTTTTTGAAAATAATTAAATTTTTTCGAGAAATTCCATTAAAAAATTAAAAATATAATATAAATCTGACGAAGAATTTTATAAAATTCGTTTGAAAATAATTTAATTCCTGTGAAAAATTTTATTTTTGAAAATAATTTATTTCTTGGGAAAAATTTGTATTCAAATATTTTTTAATAATTGAATTCCCATTTAAAAAAAAGTTATTTGTCAAAATAATTAATTTCTTCTGAAGAATTTTATTCAAATTTTCTCAAAAAATTGAATTTCTCGGAATTTTTTAAAACTTTTTTAAAATAATTAAATTCCTTTGAAAAATTTCATTAAAAAATTGAAAATTATTAAATTATTAAATTCTTTGGACGAATTTTAATAAAAATTTTAAGAATAATTACATTTTTCGAGGAATTCGATTAAAATTGCATTAAAAATAATTTTAATTCTGCAACGAGTTTTATTATTTATATGAGAATACTTGAATTCCTAAAAGAATTTTATTATTTACTAAAATAGTTTTATTATTTATGAAAATAATTGAATGTTTCTGTATAATTTTATTCAAATTTTTTTTTAATAATGGAATTCTTTTGGAAAATTTTATTAAAATAGTAGATATTGAAAATCATTGAATTTGAGAAATTTTTTGAAAATAATTTAAATTTTGCGAAGAATTTAATTAAAATTTTAGAAAATAATTAAATTTCAGAGAAGAATTTTATTATTTATAAAGATTATTGAAATTTTGAAGAGAATTTTTTTTAATTTTTTAACACAATTGAATTTTTTCGAAGAATGTTATTACTTTTGAAAATAATTGAATTTTTCTGCTATTATTTGTAATTTCTCTAAAATTATTCTAATTATATCGTACAATTTACGAACTTTTCGTCCTTTTTCAATTAAATTATGGACTTTACGGACCATTTTAAAAAAAAGATGACTTTTAAGGACTTGAAACAAATTACGGGATTTAAGGACCTAGTTCGAGCCCTAGATTTATTAAAATAAAATTTTTAATTAAAAATATGCCACAAAAATTTAATTAATTTAAAAAAGAATACTTCAGTTTTACATTAAAAACATTATTCGCTTGTTTGAAAATTCGCTCAAACATTCGAAAAATGTTAAATTAATATATTCTTGTATGGAATTTGTGCAATTTGCTATAGAAAATAAGGCAGGAGAAAATATTGTAAATAATGGCGAAAGTTTTAAATATTTGTTTTACAATTAAATATGATAAATAAAAAAGCTTAGAAAAAGTTGACTAATAAAGTAATTTTCTTTCTTTTTGTAGTCACTAAGATAGATCCCCCATGAAACATATTTGCAACACTGGTTGCATACTTCGAGGGGCACACGATTTATCGGTTTAAAAACAAAACTCAATGTTTTGAATTAAACATTAGATTATTACAGAGTTATTTATTATAGTTTGCATTTTATTTCTTGTGTGAAAGAAATTTGTTTAAAAATTTAAAAATCTAAGAACAAAAAAAATGTTGCTGGTAAATATCTGCTACTGTTACACGCAGCGTTATCAAGGGAGACGAAAGTTTTCCTCTTCATTCTCTGTCGGTAGAACTTTTTCCCGAAAAATATTACCTAACTTTGATAAATTAGAAATATTTTTATAAATTCTATATCAGGAAATATTTTCTGATAATTTAATAATTAGATTATATTTTATAGAAAAATTTCAAAATTTTTATTAAAATTTTGTTTAAATAATTGAATTTTTTTCTAAAATTTTATTAAAATAGTAGATATTAAAAATAATTGAAATGAGGAAAATTTTGGAAAATAATTGAATTTCGGAGAAGAGTTTTATTATGTATAAAAATAATTGAAATTTTGAAGAGAATTTTAAAAAATTTTTGAACATAATTGAATTTCTGCGAAGAAGTTTATTACTTTAACAAATAATTGAATTTCTTTAATCAGGTGTAACTTTTCCAAAATTCAATTATTTATTTTTTTAAATTAATTAAATGTATATTAAAAAATTTAACATAATTTCAGAAGATCTTGAATTATTATAATTTTCCAAAAATTCAAGTTTTTAAAATTTCTAATTAAATTAATTGAAAATTGAAATTTTATAAAATTTCAAATGAAAACATTTTGAAGTTTATCTATTATTTATGAAAATTGTATAAAAAAAATTAAAATAGAAATAAATAAACGTTAAAAAGTACTTACTATTTGAAGCGTACGTATTATCAGAATTTTGCCATATACAACCAATAACTTTAGGCTTAAGTTTAGCAGTTTTTGTATTTCTTTCCGCCTCAAATTGTTCGCCTAAAATTTTCAGTTTGAATTTCTGTGTTTCCGGATTCTGAAATATAATGAAAAAAGAATTGAAAAATTTTCTCCATTATTTAACAAAATTATGAATAATACTCAATTGATGAACTTACCATATCCTCGTCATCCTCTGCCTGTGCCTCTTCTTCTGACAAATATCTAAAAAAAATATGAGATATTTTACAATATTATAGAATACGAGTTAGAAAAAAAATGTGCATTGTTTGTGAAAAAAAACGAACCCATGAGGCACCATAAATTCATTATCGACATCATATTCATTATCGTCAGGATTTTCTTCATCTTTTTCGTCGTCAGAACCGTGAAGAGATTCTCCAGGTTCCTCTTCTTCCCACTCTTCATCGGAATCAACTTCATAGTCAAACCATTTCTGCAAATTAAAAAGAAAGAAACAATTGATTTAATAAAATTCCAATAAACTTATGTTCTAACTTTATTTTCTAATGAATTATATTTTTCTCATAAAAATATATTTTTCAAAATTAATTTTGAAAAATTGCCATAGTACCTAGAAAAATAAAAAATTAGTAAAAAGAATAGAAAATTTGAATTTATTTTTAAGATCTGTTCGAAGAATAAAATTAAAAATGTTTGTTTTTCAATTAGCAAGGTGTAGAGGTAAAATGTAAAAAAATATTTCGATTTGCATAAATTTTGTGAGTTTCTTTAGACAGTAAAAAATGAGAAATGTAAAAGAAAAAAATTATGCGAATATTATGAGATATTTAGTGTTTTTTTTTTGAAAACTAAAAGCTCACGTCTGCCAAGCAGTGTGCTTTTTTTTATCTAATTGGAATGTCAGTTGTGATCATAAATGGAGTCGAACATGAATAAGCAGGACGTCGGTATCAGAGCCACTTCCTTGACGTCTGATATCTGCTTGTGCTCCAAGTTGCACGTGTTTGACGATTCTCTCGTTAGTCACGAAACAATAGTCGAAGACTTTATAATATGTCTTAAAGCAGTTCAACTCAAACTCGTATGACACGCGATGCAGCAAACATCTTTCTTAAAATTATAATTTGACATTCGTGCGACACTGAACAAACAAACAAACAATCTCGAGAAACATGAAAACATTCATGTCGTGGGCAACTAGAAATTTCAAAAATACCCAAAGATGATGAAATTTAAAAGTAAAAAAAAAAAATTATCCGATTGTCAAGTTTTACAATCAATTTCTTCTAATATCTTCAATTTCAACGAATACACTTAAAAATTATCAGATTTTTTTTTAACAAAATTGAAAATGTAGAGAAAAATAAAATTTTCTGTGGAAAGTGCAAAAAGAGAAAAAGTGACAGTGTGATTTAAATTTTTAAAATTTTCCATTAAAAAACCATATGAGGAAAAATTTTACAATATAAATATTTCGGAGCAAAAGCAGATTTTCAAAGGAATATACAGTAAGTGATTTTTAAATCATATCTTTAAACAATAAAAAGTAAATTGGTTTCATGTAAATAAATGATTGTAAATAAAAATTGTCTATGTAAAAAAAATTCCCCTCTTTTTCTCAAAATTATTTTTTCTAATTAAATTACAATTTAATTTGATAATTAATTAATTACTTAATTAAGTAATAATTTATGCAAATTAAAATTTTTTTCAATTTTTATATTATTAAATGGGAATTCATAACATGCATAACGATTATTTTCTCCTGATTATTAAAAAAAAAAAAGAAAACAATGATTCCAGGGGATGTAATAATATGATTAGCGTTTGTTATCATTGTCAAGTTTCCAGTCTTTTTAATGACCATGAAATAAGCGACTTTCTATATCGCAAGAGACAAGATTAGATTCGTCCTGCTTGAAACATCCGAGTCAGTGGTCAATGCACAGAATCCAACGATAAAAATTAATTTTATCCTGCAAAACACGACTAATTTTAAACTCACATTATTTTTGCAATAATAAGAAATTGCATTTTGATAATTTTTTTTATTACTTTTGCATTTAAACATTTTTTTTTAATATTTTGATAAAACTCTTATTAAAATTGTCAATTTGGTGAAAATTCAAGAGCAACACTGATTTTAATTATAAAATATCGTTAAGATTGGACATTATACTGAACAAAATAATCTAATTAATTAATAATTAATGTATTGAAAACCATCGAATTGTTGCAAAGAATTTTATTAAAAAATTTGATAATAATAGAATTCCTTCGAAGAATTTTATTATTTAGGAAAATAATTGAATTTCATGAAAAATTTCTTTAAAGTTTTTAAATTATGTAATCGTGTTTGTTAATAATTGAAATTGAACATTTAATTATTGAATTTTATTAAAATTTTAGAAAATAATTGATTTCTTTCGTGAAATTGTTTCGAATATAATTGGTTTTTTGCAAAAAATTTTATTATTTTTAAATAAAATTTAATTGTTTCGGAGGATTTATTAAAATTTTAGAAAAGAATTGAATTTTTGCAAAGATTTTAGAACGAATTAAGAAAAAAATTTAATCCTAATGTAAAATTTTTTTGAAAATAATTGAACTTTTGCAAAGATTTTACTATTTAAAAAAATAATTGAATTGTTTCGAAAAATTTAATTAAATTTTAGAAAATAATTGAATTTTCTCGAAATATTTTATAATGAATTAAGAAAACAATTGAATTCTTTGGTGAAATTTTTTTGAAAAGAATTTTTGCAAAAATTTTATAACGAAGAAACAAAATTTAATTCTTTCGTAAAATATTTTTTGAAAATAATTGAACTTTGCAAAGAATTGACTATTTAAAAAAGTAATTGAATTGTCTCGAAGGATTTATACAAATTTTAGAAAATAATTGTATTCGTTCATGAACTTTTATTAAAATTTTGTTTAAAAATATTTTACTATTTTGTAAAAATAATTGAATTCTTAAGTAGAATGTTATTATTTATGAAAATAATTGAATTCTTGCAAAGAATTTTATTAAAATTTTTGAAGTTAATAAATAAGAATATGTAATTAGATAGTAAATTAGTTAATAATTGTATTTTTTAAAGATTGAATCTGAAATTATTCAAAAATTCATATTTGAAAATAAAAAATTTTGTGATTTGCATAATAATAATAAATCGAATATCATTTTGCAGTTTTTATATGAAAAAGATTTTTTTGTAATATATTCATTATTTTTAGAACACAAAATTAACAATTTTTTTTCGCAATGTAGTTAAAACAAAACTGCCAAAGATAATGATTTTAAAAAAATTTGATTTTTTAATTTAAATCGAATTTCTTTGATTTTAATCAAATTTTTTCTGGAGCTTGGTTTTTTAGTAATGATAATAAAAAATTAATTTTATAATTGAAGCAGCAAAGAATAACTACTTTTCTTTTCCTTAAAAAACTATATTTAACCGAACAGTAGAAGGGTAAAGATTTTAATTATCCACAATTTAAACAATTAAAAGTTGCATTTGAATAAAAATTACCATTTTTTGACAATAAGAAATATTTATTAAATTTAAAATTATGTTATGTTATTTTCATTCCAATACAACTTTTCATTGTTTAAAATAAAAATTTAATTCTTTATGCTTTCACTAAATCGAATTTAAAATTTATTAATTTTTTTTTATATAAAATACGAAATTATAACATTGGACCAACTTTTGTAATTAAACTAAAGTTACCAAAGTTTTCATTGATGCAAAAAGTGAAAAAAAAATATTTAAGTCCAAGAAGCAAATAATTTTTGATAAAAAAATGTAATTATTATTTTCATTACATCTTTAACAAATTTTCAATCCAATCGGGGCGGGAAAAACAATAGTTACTGAAAAGTTTAAGCTTTTTGAAAATAAAAATTTGATTTAAATCATAACAACCCTGAGTTAAAATGTATAAATATTGTTTTACAAGAACCTTTGACGTTAATGTTAGTGCCGACACAATTATCTTTCGAATAAAGTACCATTTAACATCAAAACCCTCCCTAAAAATCATCAAAGTGCCACGAAATACCAAAAACAGATGCAATCCACTTAAAATGACAAATGATGCATCCTTGGCTTCTATCAACATTTAGTTTATGAAAAAAAACTATTTTCATTACGATAGAATTTGCTTAATTACTATCATTACCTTAATAATAATTATTTTTATTTCAAATCTTTTTCCTTTGAATAAAATAATGAAAAAAAAACTAAACAATTAGTAAAGTAATTAAATAATTTAATACTATCTTTAATTATTTGTGTAATTCTGTATAATTAGTTTAGAATCACTACTTTCACTGTCAATTTTTTTTCAAGTTGTATTAAAATTATCAAAAATTATTATCATACTTTTGGTTTCATGAAAAAATCCAAATATTTTTATTTTATTATTAACATTTTGTTATAGAATGTTATATGAATCAACTGGACCAGTTTAATAAATTGTATTTTAACAAAAAGCAATAATCTTTTTTTCACAGTCATGTCAGTGTGTCAATTACTATCAATTACTGACAATTACATCATTGTCTATTATTACTATTTTTTGCATTTTAAATTTCTTTTGAATTTAAAATTTAAAGTATTAAATATTTTTAATTGTACAAAACTTTTTGACAAGAATATTAATGTCGAAAAATGATTATCATCTGTGTAAAGTGCAGTAATTAATTATCAGCTTTACGAAAAAAGTTCCAGAATGCCTTATAAAACATACTACATAGAAACAGATGCAATCAACTTAAAATGACGTATGGGCAAGATATACATTGTAATGTCCAAATGTAAATGAGAGAAAAACAGATAAAACTTGTGTGTGAAAATTTTCAATAGAAAGAATTATCTTTTCGATAGTTTTGCTTCTGATATAGAAACATTTTACAATAATTACAATAAAAAAAAAACGTTGCGATTGAAATATTTTCCATATTTTTTTTAGATATTTTAAAAATAATTCCTAAAGGAATACAAAACAGGTGTGTGATTTTTAATTTTATTTTATTTTATGAAAGTAAATCGAACAATTGAACGAATCTATGAAATTTAATAAATTTTTTATAATTTAAATAATATGACAATAACAATTTTTATTATTAGTATTATCATAAATTATTATGAATAATTAATTAATTAATTTTCATTTTTTAATTATCGTTTTCACAGTGAAGCTGTAGCTGTTTATTTAATTTTAATTAATAAAAATGGCTAACTAATTTTATGCAGATAATTCGATAAAATAAAAATAAGCGAAAACTTTTTATGGAGATTGAATAAGTTTTTTAAAATACTCTCTGTATGGCAACTTTTAAAATAATTAAATTTAAGATATATTTAAATTTTATTGAATAAGCGTTGATAAATATCTATTAATAAAACTAGTGATTAATTTACTTTTTTCACTTGTTCAATGTCTACATAGAGATATAGCAGGGAATTTTGGAGGTATTCAGCGATTACTCAGAGTTGATTAGTTGACCTAATCAGCATTGCACTAAGAGGAGCAGAACTAATCTCAATAGGGCATAAAACAGTCATTACAGATGGCCCATCGTGTGACAACACGTAAATAAAAAATAACGTGCTACTCCAAACTTACGTTAAAAATTTTAAGATAAGAAACATTTCATCATTTTTAACAATGAAACTTTCAATATATTTTTAAAATCAATTCAAATTTTTATTAAAATTAAAAAAAATTAAATAGACCTAACACATTTAATATCAAATATTTCTAAATCAGAAACAGTAAAATAATTATATTCTCTAAAATGCATAAAAATTCATTTTTCAGAATCTATAGCAATTGAAAATTTTTTTTATATTAATAATCGTTGCGGCAATCGGTTAATTAATAAAATTCTTATTAAATGCTTTGCAAATTAAAAAATACCAAAAATTAATTAAGCAAATTGTTTTCAATTAAAAATATTTCTTTTATTATAAAGAAATTTATCCACAAATTTTTCAAAATAAATTTTTTGCAAAAAATTTAATTAACATCTTTAAAAATAAATTAATTCTTGAGAGAAATTTAATTAAAATAATATTAAAAATACTTAAATTCTTATAGTTTTATCAAAATTTTTGAAAATAATTAAATTTCTGCGAAAAATGTTATAATTAACTGCGAAAATTTTTATTATTTAGGAAAAGAATTAAATTTGTTTAAAGTATTTAATTACATTTTTTTCTTATAAAGAATTATATTAAAATGTTTCAAAATAATTCAATTTCTGCCGAGGAATTTTTTTAAAATTCTTTAAAATAATTAAATTCCTGGGAACAATTTTATAATTTATGAAAATAATTAAAATCTAGCTAAGAATTTTATTAAAATTTTCGAATTTAAATAAAACAAAATTCTTCAGAAGAATTTTATAAAAATTCTTTAAAATAATTAAATTTCTGCGAAAAATTTGATTTTGAAATTTTGCTAAGAATTTTATTAAAATTTTCAAAAATAATTAAATTTTTCCAGCAATTTAAATAATTTAATTCTCATAAATAATTTTATCAAAATTATTCAAAATAATTGAATTTCAGTGAAGAAATTTATTAAATTTCTTTAAAATAATTAAATTCCTGCGATAAAATAACTAGAATATAACTAGAAAGCAAAAAATATAATTAAATGATTTGTATATTGAAAAAGAAAATTATCTTTATATTCAATATCCTGCTTCTATAAATCGTAAAATAAAGCTCATAGTTTGCGTGCGCTTATGAGGTTGATAAAAAAAAATCGAGATCCACGTGCTGATGATCAAAGTCACGAGCTAATTAGAAAAAATGTTAAATGCTTAGTCTAAGAAGAATTTTTTTTTCTCTCGAAGTCCATCGATTAGAAACAAAACTTTAAATATTAATAAGTTTTTAAATAATATTCCTTTTTTTTAAGTCAAAAAAATAAAAGTTCAATTTATTATAAAAGTGGTGGAAAATTCATTAAATGTCATTTTATAAAAATGTGAACTTTGAAATTACAAGTTTCCGTAATAATAATAATTCACTATACAGCAAACACTAACGATTGAAATATTTTGCGATACTCAGATTTCATAAAAGAAATTATCATACATTGTTACAATCAAAGTCATAATTCTCTTCGTAATTCTCATTAATAAATGCAGATTAAAAATATCATTGAATAATAATCTTAAGAACTCTCTCTTTTAGCGTATATTTCCAAAATTCGTCAAATAACAAACAACATTTTTTTTAAAGTGATTATCAAATATTCAATTAATTTTAAAATGAAAAAAAAATTATTCTTATAAAAAATAGAAAACAGAAGTTATAGCAGGGCTCGAACCAGTGAAAGTATTTAAAAATACGGACTTTACGGACCAAAAATAAAAAACTATGGACCATTCACTAAAATTCTACTTTAGATCAATATTGTTTTTGATAATTTCCAAAAAAGGTTATTTGGCAATTTTCAAATCCATTTGTTTACAATATTCAATTTTACGAAATTTCAATTAATCCTAAATTCTTCAATTAAATGAATATTAGAAATTAAAACTTCAAATAATGAAAAAAATATCAATTAAACATTTTCAAAAAAATTAATTTCAAAAAATTCACGCTATATTGCTTTTAATATTCAAATATAATCTAAAATTTATTTTTAAATCAATTTTTAATAGAAAATTCTACGAGAATTCCATTATTTAAATACAAAAGTAAATAATTTATTGAATAATTAAATGTTTCTCAAAATTTAATTCTCATTAAGCATTTTATCAACAAATTTTTAAATAATTGAATTCTTTTGTCGAATTTTATTAAAACTTGCATGAAAATAATTACTTTTTTCAAGGAATTCCATCAAAATTGTATAAAAAATAATTGAAATTCTGCGATGCATTTCATTATTAGTAAAAATAATTGAATCCTTAACAAGAATTTTATTCCTTTTGAAAATAATTGAATTTCTGCATATTATTTGTAACCTCTACAAAATTAAATTTTTTTCTAGTGTTTGTAACACTTTCAGTTAAAATTTTAGATTATAATTAAATATTTAAAGCATTAAAGCGTGAATTTTGAAAAAAGTTCTTTGTGAATTTTCAAATTGTTTACAATTCAATTTTACAAAATTTCAATGATTCTGAAATTCTTCAATTAAATATATATTCAAAAATAAAAACTGGAAATAATTTTTAAAATAATTCCATTAAACTTCTGCAACAGAATTTAATTCTACAGAATTGTTTGTTAAAAATATGAAAATTTTAGAATTTCAATGATTTTAATTTGAAACCTTTTCAAAATTCAATTATTTCTAAAAATCCACGTTATAATGCTTTTAATATTTAATTATAATCTAAAATTTTAACTGAAATTCATTTTTAAAACAATTTTTATTAGAAAATTCTACTACAATTCAATTATTTAAATACAAAAATAAATAATTTATTGAATAATTGAATGTTTCTTAAAATTGAATTTTTTCGTCCAGTTTTAATAAAATTTTTAAGAATAATTTTACATTTTTCGAGGAACGTGATTCAAATTGTATTAAAAATAATTGAAATTCTGCAATGAGTTTTATTATTTATGAAAATAATTGAATTCGTAAAAGAATTTTATTATTTACGAAAATAATTGAATTCCTGTAAAAATTTTATTATTTATGAAAATAATTGAATTATTGCGAAGAAATTTATAAAAAATTTGTAAATAATTGAATTCCTGTAAAATTTTTTTATTATTTTCGAAAATAATTGAATGTTTGCGTAGAATTTTATTCAATTTTTTTTTAATAATGGAATTCTTTTGAAAAATTTTATTAAAATAGTAAATATTGAAAACCATTGAATTTGAGAAAACTTTTAAAAATAATTGAAATTTTGGCAAGAATTTTATTAAAATTTTGGAAAATAATTGAATTTCAGAGAAGAATTTTATTATTTATAAAAATAATTGAAATTTTGACGAGAATTTAAAAAAATTTTTCCAACAGAATTGAATTTCTGAGAGAGAATTTTATCACTTTTGAAAATAATTGAATTTTTCTACAATCATTTATAATTTCTTTAAAATTTTTTCAAATTATATCGAACAATTTACGAACTTTTCGTCCTTTTTCAATCAAATTACTGACTTTACAGACCATTAAAAAAAACTGACTTTTACGGACTTGAAGCAAATTTACGGACCTAGTTCGAGCCCTGCAGTTATAGGGTAAACTTTGAAAACTCCTTGATTTTTATTAATTGATTAAATAAAATAAAAAATGTAGTGTAAATTTTTTTTTTCTCGAACCATTCTAATCATTGGGGGGAACTTTGAATATATAGAAGGCAGAAGCTTAGAGAAAAAAAAATGACAGATGTCAAATTAATGACTATCTGCCTGTTAATGAGAATCGGATGCAGGAGAGATGGGCATTATCGAGAAATTGTGCCTCGTAAATATTGCAAATTAATTCTCCAATTAGCAGACTTGGAGAGACGATGGTACCACGCGTCTGGAGTCTCATGGTCCCCGTGATCTGGGATCAGCCTGGACGTTATTCTGGTCCCAGGGGAGACCATGGTGACGGTACCGGGTGGCACAAACACCGATATCACAAATCTCGAAGCGACATCGTCTCTCCTTGGATTCCGGTGACGAACCCTCCAGTTTTGAAACGACCCTCGAGCGAGATGGTATCCACACTCATTTTTCGGTACCAATCCATTTAACGCGTGCCATCAACTCAACTAATCAAAACACAACACACAATAATTCGTCTACTCAAAAGAAATTCTCAATTTCGTTCAAATGAAAATTATCGAATTTCAAAATAAATATTTATTTTTTTCAATTTAATTTCTTCTCAATCTTGAGTTTAAGTGTTTGGTGATATTCTTGTAAAATTGGGAATATAGAACTATTTTTAAAAATGATCGAGGACAGTTCAACCTTTAATGTAAGTAAAATAGAAAAACTGTCCCTAAAATTCCCGAACTTTTTAAAAATGTATTTTTTCTATAATAATTATTTTAAATAAATGAACTCCAAGCGAAGCAATAATGCGAAAAATTCAATTAACCGATCAATTGTCTAATGCCAAATAAATATTTACTTGAATCAAATAATTTTTATTTAAATCAATTAAATGTTATTTGCTTCAAATACTGGAATTATTGCTTCAAATGATTATTGATTAAAATTTATTTGATTTAAATAAAAATTATTTGTTTCAAGTAAATATTTATTCGATAATAAAACAAGTATTCGGTTATTTGAATAAAATTAAATTTTTATCAGTGTAATTAATTGTTTATACAGAGTAATAAGTTATTTTAAGTGAAATATTGTTTCGAAATTAACATTTTCCCGTGATTATAATTCATTGGCACGATTTCGGTAAGCGAAGAAAATTCAATCGTGAATGTCATGAAATATCAGAAAGGTCGACAACGTGGCAGCAATGACTTTGTTTCGTCGTGATTAAAAGGCGCGTAATTTATTACGATTAATTTTTACCACATACGGAGAATGTATGTTTAATCGAGTGACGTGCCGATCACACGCTCTTAGTCATTTAAAAACACAAATGTCCATATTTATTTCCGTTAGAAATAATAGAAATGCCAATCGACATATCCTCGAAATTGATAATTTTCTTTTTTCCACTTAATGATTAAAAAAAAAAGAAATAAATAAAGAATACATTTTTTTCACATAAAGACAATTGAAACTAATTGTGTGAAATTATTTTATTATCTACCATTGTATCTGAACTATTTAATAAAATAAAAAATATTTCCAGAATTGTCCATAAGGAATTTTTAAACTATTTTTATTATTTTGATACCAATTTTTCAGATGACAGACGAATTATTGTTTTCGGCTTTGGGATTGGATATGGATGTTCTCAATGAGAAACAATTACAATCACCTACGACGTCTTTTTCCTATGAATATGAGACTTCTTGCAAGACACCACTTAGTGATTATTCAGAATTTACGGAAAATTCTTTTACTCTAATGAATAATGGAATCGAATGTTATACGGATATAACATATTCACCGGAAGTACAATGGAGCGATTGGTCAACGAATACATTCACCTCCTCGAGTAAATATAATTAATATAAATTGTCAAAATTAATCAGGGTTGCCACAAAAAATTAATTTTCTTTTTTCCTGACTTTTCCCTTATTTCCGGACAAAAATAATAATTAGGTACAATTCCCTGACCTGTGGCAACCCTGTTAATTAATTAATTAATTTATTTATTTATTTATATTAATGACATAAATAATAATTGAATTTTTGGGAATATTTTTTCAGATTGTTTCAGTGAATTAAGTGAAATTGACACTGAATTGGATTGGTGTTTAGACAGAGAATGGAATGTGGGTCTTCCTGAAAGAACGCCACTTTGTACTCCAGGATGTGAAGGATTTTTGCATCTTCCATTGCCGAAACCTCAACAACCTTTCCAACATGACGAGCCCTTATTAGTTCTTGGCATTGATCTCAGGACATTGGAGGATTCTTTAGGTTCCACGGAAATAGGTGATTTTAATGAGACTGCATTTTATATTTTCTGAATCAGTGAAAATTTCACTCGTTCAGATTTAGAGCGTTCTCTAAATATAATATTTATGGGGGTAAAATTATTAATCAGAAACAGAACCAGTAAATTCCCTAAGTCATCACCCTAAGCAAAAATAGAAAATTCTCTTTATACTATTAAAAATCTATTTTTCGATTAAAAAAAGGAATGAAATTTTTGTTTTTAAATTATAGATTATAACAATAATCAAATGGAAGAAAACAATCATTTGGTACCCTCGTCTGCCGATGTGGCTTTAGCGACTCACGACTATACGAATCGAAGTTTAACGCAAGCTGCTGACGATCGCTGTTTCCCCTGCACATATCAAGGCTGCGTGAAGGTAATTTCCGGATTTATTCAATTTTTCTCAGTATTCTTTCGAGAGAATCCTTCAATTTATCCAGCAAATCATTGTCTATTCAAATTTGCCTATTTCAATCCAAATTAATTTCGGAATCAATTTTTAAAAAATTGTAATCAAACAAATTTTTAATGAAATTGAATTTCCTCAGAAATAATTGAGATGGAAATAAAGTTTTAAATTTAAAATCATCGATTCGTTTACGAAAGTTTTACAAACTCAATTGAAATAATACAAAAAAAAATACATATACTGAATAGAAAAACTGCTGCAAAGTTAAATTAGAAAATTTTCTGTTCATTTTATGAACACTGCTTTCTCATAAAAAATTACTTTTATAAATATGTATTGAAAGAATTGTATTATTATTATTATTACACTACTAAACTTTAAAAGTATTAATTAAATTCGATTAATTTCGACCATTTTAATAAAATTTTTTTTAAAAAATCATTATTCTTAAAAATTTTAATAAAATTCCTTCAAAAAATTCAATTATATTAAAAAATTCAGATTACATTCTTCGAAACAATTCAATTATTTTTATATGAATTGTAAAATCCTCGGCAAGAAGTAAATTATTTTCATAAATAAGAAAATTCTTCGTAAGAATTAAAATATTTTCATAAATAAGAAAATTCTTCAAAGGAATTCAATTATTTTCATAAAAACTAAAATTCTACAAAGGAATTTAATTACTTTTAAAAATATTATTTTAATTCAATTATTTTCAAGAATTTTAATAAAAATTCTAATATAAAATTCTTCGAAACATTTCAATTTTTTCTATAAATTGTCAAATTCTTGGCAAGAATTCAATTGTTTTTGTAAAAAATAAAATTCTTTTGAGAAATTCAATTATTTTCAATACAATTTTTTGAATAAAATTTTGAATAATATTCCTTCAAAATAATCCAATCATTTTCAAAAATTCAGATAAAATTCTTCGAAACAATTCAATTATTTTTACTATATGAATTGTAAAATCCTCCGCAAAAATTAAATTATTTTTGTAAATAAAAAAATTCTTCTGAGAAATTCAATTATTTTCAATACAATTTTAATAAAATTTCTATTGGAAACAATTCAATTATATTCAAGATAATTTTAATAAAATTTCTCTAACAGGTTCAATTATTTTTAAAAATTGTAATAAAATTTTTCTAAACAATTCAATTGTTCTCAAAAGTTTTTAATAACATTCTTTGTAAATTTAAATATTTCTTTTAAAATTTTTAATTGATATTATTTAAAAAATTACATTATTTTTACGATATTTAATTAAATTCTTCATAAAATTCACTTACATACTTTCAAATTTTCAGTAAAAATTATTTTAAAAAACTCCACTATTTTCAAGAATATTGAAATAAATTCTTAAAAACAATTTAATTATTTTAAGGAATTTTAATAAAAATCTTGTCAAAAATTAAATTTTTTGCAATACAATTTTTTACATATTCTCGAAAGAATTCAATTATTTTCATAAATAATAAAATTCTTCGAAGGAACTTAATTATTTTTAAATCTATCTTTATATTAATAATCGTTGTATTCCGGTAATCTGTTCGCAGTTTGAGGTTTGAATTTTATCAAAAAATTTGAGAATAATTGAATTACATCAAAGAATTTTATTAACATTTTTGAAAATCCTAATTCAATTTTATTGATGAAATCCTTTGAATTTTTTAAAATAAAGGAGTTTCATTAATAATATTAATTGGAAATTTCTTAAGTGATTAAATTTTATGCAGAATGTTTAATAAATTTTTAAAATAATCGTGTTTCTTAATAATAATTAAAATTAAACATTTAATTATTGAATTTTATTAAACTTTTCAAAAAATAATTAAATTCTTCTGAGAATTTTATTAAAATTTTCTAAAATAATTTAATTTATTCAAGGAATTGTATTAAAATATAGAAAATAATTAAATTCTTTCAAAAAATTTCTTTAATTTATTGAATATAATCGATTTTGTTAATAATTGTAATTAATAATTTCTCTATTAAAATTATTGATAGAAAGTTAAACTTTTTAAAACAATTTTATTAGAGTTGTTGTAAATAATTCAATTTTTTAAAAGTTATTATGAAAATAGTATAGTTACAGTATTTTTTTTAAAATAATTGAATTTTTGCAAAGAATTTTACTATTTATGAAAATAATTGAATTGTTTCGAAGAATTTATTAAAGTTTTAGAAAATAATTAAATTTTTGCAAAGAATTTTAATATTTATAAAAATAATTCAATTCATTTGGAAAATTTTATGGCGAATTAGGTAAAAAACTTAATTCTTTCGTGAAATTTTATTAAAATTTTGTTGAGAATAATTGAATTCTTCCGAAGAATGTTATTATTTATAATGAATTTTTTAAATTCTGATTATGAAATTATTCAAAAATTTGTATTTGGAAATAAAAGCGGCTAGAGAATATACACAACATTTTAAAACATAAATTACAATTTTATACAAATCTACAACCTAAGTCCTCTTTTCTAATATGTCAATAACTTTGAAAGTAGAATACTCAAAAATAGATTAAAAGATGCGTTTTAAAAACAGTTTTTTTGAGTAGTTTTAAAACGTGAGAAAACCTAGCTAAACTTGAACAATTGGATTATTCTTACACTGATTTTTTAGTACCCAACAATGAGACCTACAGATAAAAAAGTGTTTGTGATTCTTTAGGTCAGAAAATGTAAAGAAAAATTGAAAAAATTGTTGATAAAACCGCTTCCGAGGAGAAGCAAAATTCATGAAGAACAATCTACTTCAACCAAAGAACTAATTAAATAATCTGAATAAAGCATGAAAATTAAAGTGAAAAACGATTTTTCAGGTTTATGCGAAAGCTTCACATCTAAAAGCACATCTACGAAGACACACTGGTGAGAAGCCATTCGCTTGCACGTGGACCGGATGCGGCTGGCGTTTCAGTCGATCCGACGAATTAGCTAGGCACAGAAGATCGCATTCTGGAGTGAAACCATATCCCTGTGAACTTTGCTCAAAACGATTTGCCCGCAGTGATCATTTGGCGAAACATCGAAAAGTTCATCGAAAAAATTCCTTCGCCATGTTCCAAGGGGGAAGAAATTTTCGCGCATCAAAAATGAATTTACTGCCAGCTAAAAATTAAACAGAAATCATGATAATTGCACTAAGACTACTCAATTTCGCCAAAGAGAGAAGCATTCAGTATACAAATGATAAGAATGCAAGAAAAGTAGTGCCAAATGGAAAAAAACTCTAGTAATCTGTTATATTAGGAATACAATACAAATTGTGTCAAATTCTCTTTTTATTTTCCGTTTTTTTTCGTTGATAAATAAATTAGAAAAAGTATTGTAGACAGTGATAAAATTTTTTAATGCTGCTCATAGTTAACTATAATTTTTAGAAGTAAATAAAGAGAACATGAGGAGCTTTGTGTGGAAAGTGCCTTTTATTTATAAGAATCATAGACATTCTCAAGTGATTCTAAATTAAGGAAATATAAATTAATTAAATGAGATTAAAAATCTATCTACTTTTATAAAAATTTACTAAGCTCTTTGATATTAAAATTTTAATCAATTTCAAAAAATGTTAACGATTTTGAGAAATTTAAATATGTATTATCGTTGGATTTTAATCTTGTTTAAAGTGATTCCATTTGCGGCAGTTAAACTTACAGAAACTATTTTTAAGCAATAATGCGTAAGTCGAAAATTGAAAGCATAATGAATGTTTGTAAATGAAATATCCTTTTGCTTGCGTAAGAAGCAAGAAATTATATATAGTAAATAAAGTCTTTATAATGCCGAATTGAAAATTTTTAAATGTAACTGAATTTTAATTTCAGAGCTCAAAAAAACAAAAAACTAAATAACAATTTTAAAATAAACATAGTTAAACCTAACAATAAAGTATAGTTCAAAATAAATGTATGGTTTCGAAATTCATCTTCACGAATCTCATAAAATAAATTAACTTGCAAAATAATAAATCTGTGGCTATTGAAATTTAGATTTTACTTGACGATTTTTACATTAATGATAAAGGACAAATAAAGATAAAAGAGTTTAAAATTTGAACCAATTAAAATTTTGATCAAAAAACAATTTTGGTTCATCAATTGAAATGAAGATTGCCCAGTGATAAAATCAGTATTCTATATTATAAGAATATTGTTATTCTAACTTCTTCAAAATTATTTTCATCATTTCAATTCAATTTTTAATTTCAAAAATTTCCTAAAATTTTACTTTGGATCAATTATTTTTAGTAATTTTCAAAAAAGTTTTTTGGCAATTTTCAAATCCATTTACAAATTTACAATATTAAATTTTACGAAATTTCAATTATTCGTAAATTCTTCAATTAAATGCATATTAGAAAATAAAAACTTCAAATCATATAAAAAATCAATTAAACCTTTTAAAAAAAATGAATTTCAAAATTCAATTATTTAAAAAAATTTACGCTATATTGCTTTTAATAATCAAATATAATCTAAAATTTTAACTGAAATTTATTTTTAAATCAATGTTTAATAGAAAATACTACGAGAATTCAATTATTTAAATACAAAAATAAATAATTTATTAAATAATTGAATGTTTCTTAAAATTCAATTCCTATAAAGAATTTTATCAAAAAATTTTTAAATAATTGAATTCTGTTGACGAATTTTAATAAAATTTTTAAGAATAATTACATTTTTCGAGGAATTTGATTAAAATTGCTTTAAAAGTAATTGAAATTCTGCAATGAGTTTTATAATTTATGAAAATAATAAAATTCATAAAAGAATTTTATTATTTATCTAAAAATTTTTATTATTTATGAAAATAATTGAATGTTTGCGTAGAATTTTATTCAAATTTTTTTTAATAATAGAATTCTTTTGGAAAATTTTACTAAAATAGCAGATACATTAAAAATCATTGAATTTGAGAAATTTTTAGAAAATAATTGAAATTTTGCCAAGAATTTGATTAAATTTTTGGAAAATCATTGAATTTCTGCTAAGAATTTTATTACTTTTGAAAATAATTGAATTTTTCTGCAATCATTTGTAATTTCTCTAAAATTCTTCAAATTATATCGAACAATTTACGAACTTTTCGTCTTTTTTTAATCAAATTACGGACTTTAGGGGCCATTTTTTTAAAAAACTGACTTTTACGGACTTGAAGCAAATTTAAGGACATTTACGCGATTTACGGACCTAATTCGAACCCTGTAAATAATTTAAACGCACGAAATTCTTCTTAACATTTTTAACATTCTTAAGCTTAAATAAAATTTTTCACATTGTAAGCAAATTTTAATGCAACAATTTAATAATTCTGTATTAGTTTTCAAATTTAAATTAGTATTATCTCGTAAAAAATTTGTGACGTAATGTGAATTCAATAGAAATAAATAAATGAATTTTTTCTGAATAAGAGAATTTCTTTTCTTGGCTAAGAAAGTTTATTATCAAGAAAAGAAAGAAATAGGTAAACATGATTTGACATTTGATCCCTTTTAGACGTGGATTTTCAATTTGAACTTAGTGGGCATTAATTTTCTTCTTTTGATTCATGTTTATTATTTTGCTGTTTTGGATTATTTATTATTCCAATTATGCAGTAGCATTATTTTAGGAATATATTTGCAGTAAATAAATACACTAAAATTCTCTAAAAAAAACTTACCACATCCTTTGTGAATGGTTTTCGAGGGGTGATTAAAGAACTTTTCTTTCTCCAAGTTCCTCGATAGGGAGGTCGTCGATTTTCATTGAACATCAGCAACTTTGCACGATGCTTCTCCACAGCCACATTTCCTCGATCCACAACATTGTAATTTTCCTCCTTGTCATCGCTTTCTGTAAAAATAAAAAAAAAAATTAATTTAGTTATTGAAAAAATTTTAATTGATCTTGATTTCCTTACCTAATATTACAACGTCATCATCGTCTTCTTCCTCTTTTGTCTTCGGTGGCCAAGTTTTACCTGATTTTCTCCTCGGGACTTCTTTATTCTTTATTTCTCCCAAGTACAATTTAGATTTATCCAATGATTGTTTTTCCCAATTTTCGTCAAATTTCTCCCTCTCTTCATTGGTTATAGTTCTTCGGCAAACTGGTGCAATTCTCATATCGGCTTTCACTTCAAATGGCATAAAATTCATTGTCTTTGCCGTAATTTGCTCAGTCTTTGATTCTGCTGGCTTTTTTGTAACAAAGAAACTAACGAAACTTGAAACAGCTTTTTGCTTTTTACGTTCAGCCTCTAGTTTCTCTTCTTCTTTTTTCCGCTTTTCTTCCTCTTTTGCTTCTTCACGTTTTCGTTGATCCTCTTTTCTCGCCTCCTTTTCTCTTTGCTTTTGTCTGAAAAATATTATTTTTCATAATTTATGAATTGTGACTAAATAAAAATAGATATGTGAGTAAAAAAATATTATTTACTCAATTTCCATTTGCTTCTTTAATTCCTTTTCTTCCTTCTCCTTTTTCTTTTGTTCCCTCTCGGCTTTTTCCTTTTCATCCTTCTCTTTCTTTTTTTCGTCCTTTAATCTCTTACGATTTTCTCGTTCCTCGTCTCTTTTCTTTTCTCTTTCCTGTGAAAAATAAAATGCTTATTAAAATGCTTTTGATTTTGAATATAAATATTTTTGAAAAAATTTACCAGTCTTAATTTTTTTCTATCATCTTTTCGCTTTTGCTTCTCCAATTGTTTCTCTAATTGTTTTGGTGTCATTTTCTTTTGTTTCATATCAATGTCCCTTTTTGTGCGAGGTGTTTTTATACCGTCGCTATTTTTTCTCTTCTCCTCGGATTCATCGACATCTGTTTTATTATCCGTCATTTGATCATCATCCGAACTTTCAGTGTCGGATTCGTATTTCGAAACATCCATATCTTGTTCTTGATCAATTTCTTCATCACTTTCCTCTGTATTATCTATATCCACTTTTGTTGTTTCTGTCGGTGAAATTTTTGTATTTTCCGAAGTGATGTCAATTTCGTTGGATTTTTTCGTCTCATCCACTTTCTCGGGAATTTCATCATTACTTGTCAATTTGGGTTTTACATTTTCCTTAAGTGATTCAGACTTATTTTTTGGCGAGTCTTTACTCTCAGTTTTGGTGAGAAAACGTGTAAGCGATCCCAGTTTAACCGCCGATTTCTCATCGGTTTTTTTCGATTTCGGAGTAGTTTTAATGTCTGACGATTCAATGTTGACTGTTTCATTGGCTTCTTTCTCGTTTAATTTTTCACCAGCCTTATCATCGTTCGCTTCGAGATCGATAATTTCCGTTACATTCGATTTTGTCGATTCAAATGAATTTAATTTGTTCGTTGTTTTTAATAATTTGGGACTTTTGCATTCGATGAGAGTTGGAGACGCAAGTTTACGTTTCTTGTTGACGTTTGGTGAATCCGCGGAACTCAACATTTGAAATGATAATCGTGCTGAAAATGATAATTTATCTTATTAAAAGTTGCAAAATTGAAGAATGTGAATCGTTCAACTTAATTCGTTATATTTTTCTATTTAACTAATTTATTGTGTATGATCTAATTCATTCCAAGAAGTCAATTATTTTTTTATACAATTCTAATTAAATTATTTCACAAATTTATTTCCACAAACTTTAATAAAATCGTTCACTGAAGAATTCAATTATATTTGCAAATAATAAAATTTTTCACAGAAATTCAATTATTTTCATAGACAATCAAATTCTTTAGTTGAATTAAATTATTCTGAATATAATTTTTAAAAAAATTCTTGTATTCAATTTTAAGAAATAATCAATTATGTTGTCAATTATTTATTTTTGTACTTAAATAATTCGATTCTCATAGAACTTTTTAATAAGAATTGATTTAACATTAAATTTCAGTTAAAATTTTAGATAATAATTGAATATATTCAATTTTCAGAGAGAAAAATTCACTAATTTAGTGATGAAATTTAATTTTTCGATAGTTACTTTTTGCTACTTTTTTAAAATTATTTTTTTAGTGCAAAGCCTGAAAATTACATCAAATTTCTGTTGGTAATTTTGTAATTATTTTAATGGAAAAAATGAGTCTGAAATCCGCAATTAAACAAAAGCAAAAAAAAAAATAATGAATTAACTGTTCTTTAAAAAGAATTTAATTTCTTAAGAATTTTCGTAAAATTAGAAATATAAATTACCGAAAAAAATTCTTTTTTTTGAAAAAATGGAATTTTTAGAAACATTAATTTATTAAACTTTTTTCTTATTATTATAATTATGTTATCAGTTTTTTTTATATTAAGAAAAAAAATATATTTAATAAAAATTACAGAAATAAATTAATGTAAATACAACTAAACATTGACATAATTAGTTTATGTTTCGTTTGTTAAAATTAATTAAATGAATCAATTAATAAAATAAACAAAAGCATAATTATTGAATTATTGTTTAATTAATAATCACAAATATTACCTTGCTTTAAAGTCTTTTTTTTCGGTACCGCAACCATTTCTATGTCGCATTCCTCAGGTTTAACAGGCTCCTCCATAATTTATTAGTTTACTTTAAATTCAAGGACACCAAGAATATTTAACAAAAATATTGTTCTGAAAAAAAAATAAATTCTTATAATAATTGACTATTTTTATATATTTACAAGAAATAAATAAATATGAAAATAAACCTTTCATAAAGAAGATTCAATGATGAAGACACAAAGAAACTTCGAATGTAATAATGTTTGACGTGTTTAAACTTGACACATAACCTTTAGAGAACTTTATACATATTCACACAAATTTCATTTGTTGTAGAAAGTGCATTTTCATCTAAAAATTGTCGACTAACTTTGACAACAATGTAAAACAATAATAAAACAAAATAATAATGTATTTCAATAAATTAACTAAACTTATCAATGTCACACACCCGGAAGACTAAACTTTATCAAATCCGCGGGAAAACAACTTTTAGAGGGGGAAAACCGATAACAAAATAATATACAGAGAGGAATTTAATCGCGGAAAATTAGATACCAAAAGGACCTCTATGGTCGTTAAAGAGAAGTTTTGAAGCGTGAATTTCGTGAACTGTTTGGAACTGTACGATATCCGCAGTCGATAAAGTCGCTAAGACGAAATTTAAAAGTACCCGTTTGGATTTAATTTTATCCCAGTATATTCTAAACTATCAATACAACTTTCATTGTTTTTTTAGTCAACAATCTCTAAGTGGTAAGTTTTTTAATCATTTTCATCATTTTTCAGAATTACAGTCTTAAGAATTCAAAAATATTAACTTTAGACAGCCGCCGATAGGATCTCTGAACTAATTGACAAGACGACAAGAAGGGCACAAAGTTACAAAAACAATATAACAAATTCATCAAAAAGTAAATTTTCAAGTTTTAAATACAACAGATTTAGAAATACAAATTTTAAATGATAAAGTTAATATATTTTAAATATTTAAAGAAAAATAGAATTTAACCAAGTAATCTTTAATAATACACTGAAAACTAAAACTAAAAATTTTATACACATTACCTTTAAACAAAAAAAGGCAAATTATTAATGTTATTAATCAGTGACATAACCTCAATTAATGGATCCGTTAAATAAATATAAATCAAATATTATAGTATAAAATCATGTATTTTCATGTAAAATATTGTTTTTCTTAATAAATTACATCTTTTAAATACTAAAGTATTATAATATTAAAATACAAAATTGAATTTTTAATTATATAAAATTTGATTAGGAAATTAAAACAACTTGTAAACTTATAAAGTTATAAATTAAAAATACAAAAAATTAGGCTTTAAAAATCTTCCTGTATATGAAATATAAGTTTCATATTTTATCCCTGAGATTGAAATGTTTTTAATTTAATTTGTTTTTTATATATTTTGGTTGCAGACAATATTTTTACCGAGAGGGAAATTTATAAACTGGATATCGTGGTGCAAAATGATCATTAATTCCCATCACGTGTTGAGAATCATCGTCATCTTGAAGATTCTCAGCGGCAAAAATTGATTCTTGGTAAGTTGGCGGAGCTATAAAAAATATATTTTATTTTAAGTAATTCTAAGCTAAATTAAACTACATGGAGTACTATTTTTCGTGAAATTTTCGTCATAAGTTTACAATGAAAAGTTCAAGAAAAATGGTAAAACTAAACTGTTTTTGAAATCTCTGTATTTCTGACAAACTTTCATTATTTTTCCATGAATTATTTCTTCTCTTTTCTAAATAGTAATTTAGAAAATTGAAAATGATTATAGTTTTAAAAGAACATAAATTACATTTAGTTGAATAAATAATTTCGTTAGTTTCCTACTACTTTATTTAAGTTTATCAATAAAAAAAATTATTTTTAAACTTTACGTAGAAAAATACTTACGTAATTCGAAGTTAATTACTGTTGAGTAATCTGGAGGTGCAGAAGGAGTAGAAGGTGCTGTTGATGATTGTGTTAGGGAAGAAAGTACTGATGTAAAAAATAGGCAATTGTTCAATGGAACAGTTCCTATTAAAACTGGAGATGTAAATTTCAAATTAGGAGTGCATCTAAGGAAACAAAAAGTAGATTGTTATTTATTTTCTAGAAAATATTCATTTTTTTCTAAAAATTAACAAATTATTAAATACTAATATAGACAGGGCTCGAACTAGGTCCGTAAATTTCCTCCAAGTCCGTAAAAGTCAGTTTTTTTGAAAAATAGTCCGTAAAGTCCGTAATTTTAGAGAAATTACAAATGATTGCAGAAAAATTCAATTATTTTCAAAAATAATCAAATTCTTCGCAGAAATTCAATTGTGTTCTGAAATTTTTTTAAATTCTCGTCAAAATTTCAATTTTATGTTTATAAATGAAAAAATTCTTCTCTGAAATTCAATTATTTTCCAAAATTTTAATCAAATTCTTGGTAAAATTTCAATTATTTTCAAAAGTTTTCTCAAATTCAATGATTTTCAATATCTAGTATTTTATAATAAAATTTTCAAAAAGAATTCCATTATTAACAAAAAATTTGAATAAAATTTTACGCAAACATTCAATTTTTTTTATAAATAATAAAAATTTTTACAGGAATTCAATTATTTACAAATTTTTTATAAATTTCTTCGCAATAATTCAATTACCTATTTTCATAAATAATAAAATTTTTACAGGGATTTAATTATTTTCGTAAGTAATAAAGTTTGTTTAGGAATTTAATTATTTTCATAAATAATAAAACTCTCTGCAAAATTTCAATTATTTTTAATGCAATTTTAATCAAAGTCCACGAAAAATGTAATTCTTCTTAAAAATTTTAATAAAATTCGTGCAAAGAATTTATTTATTTAAAAATTTGTTGATAAAATTTTTTATGAGAATTTAATTTTAAGAAACATTAAATTAATAAATTCTTTATTTGTATATTTCAATAATTCAATTCTCGTTGAATTTACTAATAAAAATTGTATTAAAAGTGAATTTCAGAATTTTAGATTATAATTAAATATTAAAAGCATTATAACGTGGATTTTTAGAAATAATTGAATTTTGAAAAGGTTTTAAATTAAAATCAATGAAATTTTTGAATTTTTTATATTTTAAACAAACAATTCTGTAGAAATAATTCTTTTGAAACATAGTTTAATTGAATTTTTTTTAAAATTATTTCAAGTTTTTATTTTCTAATATATATTTAATTGAAGAATTTCCGAATAATTGAAATTTTGTAAAATTGAATTGTAAACAAATGAATTGGAAAATTCCCAAATATTTTTCAAAAATTATTAAAAATAATGGATTTATAGAAAAATTTTAGTTAAAACACTAGAAAAAAAATTTATTTTTTCAGAAGTTACTAATTATTGCAGAAATTCAATTATTTCCAAGAGTAATAAAACTTTTCTTAAGAATTCAATTATTTTTACTAATAATAAAACTCATCGCTGAATTTCAATTATTTTTCATACAATTTTAATTGAATTCCTTGAATAAAGTAATTATTTTCATGCAAGTTTTAATAAAATTCGACAAAAGAATTCAATTATTTAAAAATTTGTTAATAAAATTCTTTATGAGAATTCAGTTTTGAGAAACATTCAATTATTATTCAATAACTTATTTACTTTTGTTTCTAAATAATGGAATTCTCGTAGAATTTTATAATAAAAATTTATTTAATAATGAATTTCCGTTAAAATTTTAGTTTATAATTGAATATTAAATGCAATATAGCCTGAATTTTAAGAAATAATTGAATTTTTAAATTAATTTTTTTGAAAAAGTTTAATTGAATTTTTTTTATATTATTTGAAGTTTTTATTTTCTAAGCATTTAATTGAAGAATTTAGGAACAATTGAAATTTCGTGAAATTGAATATTGTAAACAAATGGATTTGAAAATTGCGAAAGAACTTTTTCGAAAATTATTAAAAATAATTGATTTAAAGTAAAATTTTAGTTTGAATTATTTGAAATAATTTTTTTGTACTAAAAACTATTTCTAGCAACTATATAAAACATGACATGGTGTAGATTTTTCAAGAGAATTTAATTAAAAAAAATATGTTTGACCAAAAAAATTAATTTTTTACACTTTAAGGTCTAAAAAATGTAATGCAATTAGTTTCGGATAAAAAAATTTGTTAGTCGTAACCCTATTTGAATTAAAAATAATTACAGTCGAACCTGAATAAACGGGAGAGTTCAAGGGACCTTATAAAGGTTTCTCGCTTATCCAGGTTCTAATGCACAAAACTTTGTTTGAAAATATAAAAAATTGCCTTATGAGTAAAAATATTATTGATTAAAATAATACATACAATTGATCAATATATAGTTTCAGTTCAATTGCATATTGAACGTCAATGAGTCCACATTCATTTAAAGTGGAAGGTGGTAGAGAGGGTACTTCAATAAATTCATCAAAACTAACATTATTAGTTTCAATCTTCCCTTCATGGATGTCTTTAATTGTCATATACTTTTTTCGCTTTTGTGTACGTGGCTTAGTCACTTTAAAAGTCACTTTCTGGAATGGATAAATTATATTTTTACAAAACGAGAGAACCAAAAGTAAATAAAAAATAAAAATAACGAGTGTTAATGAAAGAATATATATTGCACCATCTCACCTTTATTAATTTTAATCTCACGTGATAAATAGTAACACGTGATAAATTTTTGATATTTATATTAATTGGAATTACTTGTCCCGGGACGTACCCTTTTACAGGCATAGAAAGTGTTGCAGTAAGAGGTGGTGAGGATGAAAAACATCCAAAATTTCGTGTTCTTGATTCAACAACAGGAGACTGAAAAATTGAGAACAATATTTTTTAGTAATTTCAAATAATCAAGAAATTTAATATCAAAAACATGACTAATTTTAACAAATTTTCTTTAAAAAAAAAAGAAAAAATACATTGAACAAAAAACACAATTTTTTATTAAATCAAATCAATTATTTTTAAATGACTTCTGTTTTTTAAAATCGTTAATATAGCTGTTTTCATTCTCAAAGTATAGGTATATTTAATTATTACATAAACTATTATTTTACATTCTTCAATAGAAAAATAAGATAGCAAACTTTTCCTATTAAATCTCAAGATTACAATGATGATAGTAATTTATCTTTAAATAAAATATAAATTTATATACTTTTCTGAAAAGAATGAATATAATATAAGTTTAAAAAATAAAATATAAATGAAACGAAGAGAATGATAAAGAAAATATTTACCGAAGCATTAGAATCTGTATTTAAATCATATTTAGAAATCACAGTGAACGCGGATTTTGTTTCAATGTCAAATTTCCAAGGTAAATCAATTGTGGCTTTTATTGTGTATCTAATGTAGCCTAATTTTGATTCAAAACTACTTGGTAATCTTGATGGTAAAGTAAATTCAAATGGAAAAAAACTTTCACCATGAGGCAATTCGATATCATCTGTAAAATTTGAAAAAATCTTTTTTTAATATTTGGTTCTTATTTATTATAAAGTTATATTAATATAAATTTCCAAATTTTACAATAATGAAAGATAAAGAAATTTGAAATCATCAAATTTACCATATTCTCCTCCAATTAGATATTGTCGTTTAGAAAAATACTCTTCATGACCGGTATATCGTGTTTGTCCTTTCCCGGCGCTTGTACTCCATGAAGTTTTTGCTTCTCCTGTTCCTTTAATCCTTAATCCTTGACAAGGATAAAAGTTAAATTAATAAAAGATTTTAAAAAAGAAATTCTCTAAATTTGAATTAGTTAAAAATAATTAATTTTATAGTAAAAAATCAGTCACTAATTCAAATATAGTATGTAAATTAATTTTTAAAAAAATATCGAATTAATAGAAATTTTGTTAAATTCAAATGAAAATAATTAAATTTGTTAAAGAATTTCATTAAAAACTTTTTAACAAATCGAATTTTCAAAGTATTTTAATTTAATAATTGATAAAATAATTGAAATTTATAAAGAGTCACATTCTAATGTATTCAAGTTTCTTAGTGCGAAGATTAATAATTAAAATTTTTATTAGTTAATTTAAAAAAAGATAAACACTTAAAATTTTCTAATAAAATTGAATTTTCGCAAAGTTTTTTTTTGAAAATTCTGAAAAATAAGATTTTGGAAATTTTTCAATTCTATTGTTTTAAGATAACTGAATTTTTCTAAACAAATAATTGTAAATTTTTGAAATAATTAAAATTTCTTTACATTCTATTAAAAATAATTAAATTCTTTGAAAAAATTTTATTTACATTTTTCGAAAATAATCAAGGGAAGTTAGTCACCGTAATTAGAATTTAATTTTTAAAAATTTCTTCACAATATATTCAATTATTTTCATAAATAGTAAAACTCATTGCAGAATTTCAATTATGTTTAATACAATATTTTAATCAAATTCCTCGAAAAATGTAATTATTTTTAAAAATTTTATTAAAATTCGTCGAAAGAATTCAATTATTTGTATAAACTGTAAAACAAATTCTTTTCAAGAATTCAATTATTTCCATAAATAGCAAAATTCTTCAGATTTACTAAATTCTTTTGAATAATATTTTTAAAAAAATTCTTCACAAGAATTCAATTATTTTCATAAATTTCCATAAAATTCTAAAAAACAATTCAATTATTTGCAAAAGTAATAAAATTCTTCGCAGAAATTCAAATATGTTTAAAAAATTTTTTAAATTCTTCTCAAAATTTCAATTATTTTTATAAATAATTAAACTGTTCTCCACATTTCCATTATTTTCAAAAATTTTAATAAAATTCTAGGCAAACATTTAATTATTTCTATGAATAATATAAAATTCTTTGGAAGAATGCCATTACATTTATAAATAGTAAAATTCTTTGCAAAAATTCAATTAGTATCAAATTATCAATACATTTTAATAAAATTATTGATTTAATCAAATTTTCAATTAAAATTTTCAAAAGATAAGTTATATTAAAAAATTGAAAATATTGTTTGTTTAATTCAATTATTTTCCAAATTTTTAATTAAAATTATTAAAAAGATAATTATTTTCAAAAAATTTAAAGAAACTGCAGCCAATTTAAATTTGATAAGAAAAAAAACCTGGAAAATTAGGACAAAGCCGGAAACATTGTTGAACGAAAATGGTAGACACTACTGTTAAAATTTTTCTTAAATGTTGCTATTTTTATAACATTAAATTATATTTTTTTATGAATTCTCGTAAAAAAACGCGTATTTTGGATATAAAATAATTAAAAAAAAAAAATATATATATATATATATATATATATATCAATAAAATATATGTATACGTAGATAATAAAATCAAATGGTTTCCGTTAACCGAGAGAATTTTTATTTGATTACAAATATCAATAAAAATTATAGTACTCTTATCTAATCATACAATTATTAATGATATACACGTTTTTAAAAGAAAAGACGTCATAAGCCTAATATAAAATTATAAGAAAATAAAAAAATTGTTAACGATATTTTAATTGTAAAAACTCTTGTTTTATTAAAGTAAAAATTAAACTTTGACAATAGTTATTAAATTTTATTTTTAAAAAGTGACAAATAATTAGAAAGTTTTTCTTAAATGCTTATATTATATAGATAATAGATTAGAATATAGTCTATTAATTGAAAACCATTTTTATAAGTAATTTTTTACTGTTTGAAAATTAATAATGATCCACAAGTTCTGCACGTTTGAATGAATTAAATTTTTTATTGATATATATTTTCTAAAAAGTGACTTACTTTTTTAATAAAAATTAGTAACAAAATTGCTATCAATAATTGAAGACCTCCACGGAATAACGATCTATGAAGTACATTTAAAAATACTTGCAGATTTCAACTTTGAATTGACATAAATAGTTATTGCAACTACAATATCTATTCAAAACCAATAAATTTCATTGTCTATTTATTTAATTATACTATTTCATTCATTTAGGATTAAAATTCAATAATATGTGCAAATATTTTCATTACAATTGCAGTTATGTTAAAATATGCCATAGATCGTTATTTCGTGGAGGTATTCAATTATTCTTTTTATTATTAGTTATTATTATCAGTATAAAAAATTTAATATATTATGAATGTATTTTAGGTTTTTATAATTTTGTACACAAACCTCTACATTTTTTGGGTCCATCCAGAGTTAGAAAAACATGTCCCTTAACAATATCGTTAGGAAAATAAGTTTTCACAGGATTCTCAAAAATAATTTTAAAATTTTTTACCCCCATTGTTAAATATATACAATAATAACAATTTCTTATAGATTATATAAGTTATTGGTTTGTTATCATTTTATTTTAGTTTTTATTAACTGTTTATAAAACACGTTTTAGACATTGAAATAAACATATTACTTATGTTAACTTATTGCGTAGCTCATGTTCCCAACAACTAACAACATGTACTGCTTCACTGAAATATACAATCGTCCGATGTGAACTATACCTACATATATGTGAGTCATAGATTATATATAAGCTTGTTGGAAAGCGAATAGTATAATATATATATGACACTACTTTCGGAAATTGTCGTTATGCCTAGCGAACGCACGTTCAGAATTCTGCTACCAAATAGTAAAATTTCATTAATTGTTAGAAATTTTCATGGTCGACTTTTCCCCTTTTTGATTATAGTAAAATGTTATCAATTTTTAGTAATATTTTACTAATTTTTTAATAGTTTTTTTGTTAATTGCTAGTCATCTAATTCACTAAATGAATTAGTGAAACTGTTTTATCAACTTTTAGCAATCGCAGTAAATTGTGAAGTATTGAAAAGCGTTGCAGATTAAATTAATACCAAAAAAGATTAAAATAATCCATTTTGAGGTTATTTTTTACTATGAATTCAATGGATTCAATAAATTTTTTTGGAGTGTCCCTCGGTTTATTTATGCAAACTGCAAAACGCATAATTTTTTATGTAAATAATAATATGAGCAGCGCAGATATTTAAGTCTATCTTTTAACTTTGTAATATTTAGTAATAATGGACAATTATAGCCCGTGTACTTTAAATAAATAAATGAATGAAATTTGACTTCAAATCAAAACCAAGCTAATGATTTGTCAAATAAAGTCAAAGCGAGTCTTAGTCCTAGTCACAGTCTAGGTCAAAGTCTTAGTCTAAGTTAAGGTCAAAGTCTTGGTCGAAGTCTTAGTCTAATACTAAGTCTAAGTTTTAGTTTAAGTCCGATACTAAGTCTTATAGTTTAAGTTTAATACTAAGTCGAAGGATTAATTTAAGTCTAACACTAAGTCTAAGTTTTATTTTAAGTCTAATCCTAAGTCTTAGTCTACGTCCTTAGTCTTTGACTATGACTTTGGCTAAGACTTTGACTAAATCTAAGTCTTAAACTTAGTCTTAGACTTAACTGAGTCAAAATCTAAGTCTACGTCTTACTCTAAATCTGAGTCTAATACAAAGTCTTAGACTTTGATTTAGATTAAGTTCTAATTCTTAGCATTTGACTTAGATAAAGATTTTTATCTTGTCCTAAGTCTTAGACTTAGTATTTGACTTTGGCTATGAGTTAGACTTAGACTCACATTGACCATAGTTGATATTAGATTTACATTCACAAATCATTGACTTAGTTTTGATTAATTTAAAGTAAAATTTAATTCATATGAAAAAATAACACCAACGTGGATTATTTTAATCCTTTCTGGTGTTAATTTATTCCTAGAGGGATTAAACAGTTGCAGATTATTTTAAATAAATACAATTTGAATGAGTTAAGAAAAATAATATTTTACAAGTTTCTTACAAGCAACATGAAGTAACCTTTCTTAAAAATTTCTTCAAATTTATTTTTATACTCAGCGGCCCATTCAGTTTTTTATGGAAAATTTCCATTTTATGTTTCGGGTCCAAAATCTGTTTAGGATAATTTAATTTAGAGGTCGTGAATTTTGTCACGTTCGTTTAGGTAAATGTTTCTGTAAATTTGTTCAGTTTAGGAAATTTTAGTTTCGTGTTCGCGAATTTTGTCAAGTTCGTTTAGGTAAATGTTTTTGTAAATCAGTTCAAATCAGGAAAATTTAGTTTCCTGGTCGCGATGTTTGTCACGTTCGATTAAGTAAATGTTTCTGTAAATTAGTTCAGTTCAGGAACCTTTAGTTTCGTGTTCGCAATATTTGTCACGTTCGATTAGGTAAATGTTTTTGTAAATTATTTCAGTTCAGGAACCTTTAGTTTCGCGTTCGCGATTTTTGTCACGTCCGATTAGGTAAATGATTCTGTAAATTAGTTCAGTATAGGAATCTTTAGTTTCGTTTTCGCGATATTTGTCACGTTCGATTAGGTAAATGTTTCTGTAAATTAGTTCAGTATAGGAATCTTTAGTTTCGTGTTCGCGATATTTGTCACGTTCGATTAGGTAAATGATTCTGTATATTAGTTCAGTTCAGGAATCTTTAGTTTCGCGTTCGCGATATTTGTCACGGTCGATTAGGTAAATGTTTTTGAAAATTATTTCAGTTAAGGAACCTTTAGTTTCGCGTTCGCGATTTTTGTCACGTCCGATTAGGTAAATGTTTCTGTAAATTAGTTCAGTATAGGAATCTTTAGTTTCGTTTTCGCGATATTTGTCACGTTCGATTAGGTAAATGTTTCTGTAAATTAGTTCAGTTCAGGAACCTTTAATTACGTGTTCGCGATTTTTGTCACGTCCGATTAGGTAAATGTTTCTGTAAATTAGTTCAGGTCAGGAAAATTTAGTTTCGTGTTCGCGATATTTGTCACGTTCAATTAGGTAAATGTTTCTGTGAATTAGTTCAGTATAGGTATCTTTAGTTTCGTGTTCGCGATATTTGTCACGTCCGATTAGGTAAATGTTTCTGTAAATTAGTTCACGTCAGGAAAATTTAGTTTCGTGTTCGCGATTTTTGTCACGTCCGATTAGGTAAATGTTTCTGTAAATTAGATCATGTCAGGAAATTTTAGTTTCGTGTTCGCGATTTTTGTCACGTTCGATTAGGTAAATGTTTTTGTAAATTATTTCAGTTCAGGAACCTTTAGTTTCGCGTTCGCGATTTTTGTCACGTCCGATTAGGTAAATGTTTCTGTAAATTAGTTCAGTATAGAAATCTTTAGTTTCGTGTTCGCGATTTTTAACACGTTCGATTAGGTAAATGTTTCTGTAAATTAGTTCAGTTCAGGAACCTTTAATTACGTGTTCGCGATATTTGTCACGTCCGATTAGGTAAATGTTTCTGTAAATTAGTTCAGTTCAGGAACCTTTAATTACGTGTTCGCGATATTTGTCACGTCCGATTAGGTAAATGTTTCTGTAAATTAGTTCAGTTCAGGAACCTTTAATTACGTGTTCGCGATATTTGTCATGTTCGATTAGGTAAATGTTTCTGTAAATTAGTTCAGGTCAGGAAAATTTAGTTTCGTGTTCGCGATTTTTGTCACGTTCGATTAGGTAAATGTTTCTGTAAATTAGTTCAGGTCAGGAAAATTTAGTTTCGTGTTCGCGATTTTTGTCACGTTCGATTAGGTAAATGTTTCTGTAAATTAGTTCAGGTCAGGAATCTTTAGTTTCGTGTTCGCGATATTTGTCACGGTCGATTAGGTAAATGTTTTTGTAAATTATTTCAGTTCAGGAACCTTTAGTTTCGCGTTCGCGATTTTTGTCACGTCCGATTAGGTAAATGTTTCTGTAAATTAGTTCAGTATAGGAATCTTTAGTTTCGTTTTCGCGATATTTGTCACGTTCGATTAGGTAAATGTTTCTGTAAATTAGTTCAGTATAGGAATCTTTAGTTTCGTGTTCGCGATATTTGTCACGGTCGATTAGGTAAATGTTTTTGTAAATTATTTCAGTTCAGGAACCTTTAGTTTCGTGTTCGCGATTTTTGTCACGTTCGATTAGGTAAATGTTTCTGTAAATTAGTTCAGTTCAGGAACCTTTAATTACGTGTTCGCGATTTTTGTCACGTCCGATTAGGTAAATGTTTCTGTAAATTAGTTCAGGTCAGGAAAATTTAGTTTCGTGTTCGCGATATTTGTCACGTTCAATTAGGTAAATGTTTCTGTGAATTAGTTCAGTATAGGTGTCTTTAGTTTCGTGTTCGCGATATTTGTCACGTCCGATTAGGTAAATGTTTCTGTAAATTAGTTCACGTCAGGAAAATTTAGTTTCGCGTTCGCGAATTTTGTCAAGTTCGTTTAGGTAAATGTTTTTGTAAATCAGTTCAAATCAGGAAAATTTAGTTTCCTGGTCGCGATGTTTGTCACGTTCGATTAAGTAAATGTTTCTGTAAATTAGTTCAGTTCAGGAACCTTTAGTTTCGTGTTCGCAATATTTGTCACGTTCGATTAGGTAAATGTTTTTGTAAATTATTTCAGTTCAGGAACCTTTAGTTTCGCGTTCGCGATTTTTGTCACGTCCGATTAGGTAAATGATTCTGTAAATTAGTTCAGTATAGGAATCTTTAGTTTCGTTTTCGCGATATTTGTCACGTTCGATTAGGTAAATGTTTCTGTAAATTAGTTCAGTATAGGAATCTTTAGTTTCGTGTTCGCGATATTTGTCACGTTCGATTAGGTAAATGATTCTGTATATTAGTTCAGTTCAGGAATCTTTAGTTTCGCGTTCGCGATATTTGTCACGGTCGATTAGGTAAATGTTTTTGAAAATTATTTCAGTTAAGGAACCTTTAGTTTCGCGTTCGCGATTTTTGTCACGTCCGATTAGGTAAATGTTTCTGTAAATTAGTTCAGTATAGGAATCTTTAGTTTCGTTTTCGCGATATTTGTCACGTTCGATTAGGTAAATGTTTCTGTAAATTAGTTCAGTTCAGGAACCTTTAATTACGTGTTCGCGATTTTTGTCACGTCCGATTAGGTAAATGTTTCTGTAAATTAGTTCAGTATAGGAATCTTTAGTTTCGTGTTCGCGATATTTGTCACGTTCGATTAGGTAAATGATTCTGTATATTAGTTCAGTTCAGGAATCTTTAGTTTCGCGTTCGCGATATTTGTCACGGTCGATTAGGTAAATGTTTTTGAAAATTATTTCAGTTAAGGAACCTTTAGTTTCGCGTTCGCGATTTTTGTCACGTCCGATTAGGTAAATGATTCTGTAAATTAGTTCAGTATAGGAATCTTTAGTTTCGTTTTCGCGATATTTGTCACGTTCGATTAGGTAAATGTTTCTGTAAATTAGTTCAGTATAGGAATCTTTAGTTTCGTGTTCGCGATATTTGTCACGTTCGATTAGGTAAATGATTCTGTATATTAGTTCAGTTCAGGAATCTTTAGTTTCGCGTTCGCGATATTTGTCACGGTCGATTAGGTAAATGTTTTTGAAAATTATTTCAGTTAAGGAACCTTTAGTTTCGCGTTCGCGATTTTTGTCACGTCCGATTAGGTAAATGTTTCTGTAAATTAGTTCAGTATAGGAATCTTTAGTTTCGT